TCTTCCTCATATTGACGATCTTCTTGAGCGTTTGGGCGGCGTGAAGTATTTTTCGAAATTGGACTTGAAGTCGCGCTATCACCAAGTTTTGATATGCCCGCAAGATTGCTAGAAATCCGCATTTAAAACGAGGTACGGGCATTTTGAGTGGATTATCATGCCTTTCGGCTTCACCAATGCCCCAACGACTTTTCATGTGGCGAGTACCAACGAGTTTCGTGCGATGTTCGACCGGTTTGTGCTGGTCTACTTGGACAACGTTCTCGTCTATAGGCGGATCTTTGAGGACCATCTTAAGCACCTTCGACGTGTGTTGAAGACGCTCCGTCACGCCAAGTACAAGGCCAACCGTGACAGGTGCGAGTTCGTACGTCAAGAGTTGGAGTACTTGGGTCATTTTGTCAAACCGGGGGGCATTGGTCTGTAATGGAACAAGATTCAAGCCGTCAGAACGTGGTCAGAACCTAAGAACATTACGGATGTCCACTCGTTTCTCCGCCTCGCTGGCTACTATCATCGCTTTATTGAAGGTTATTCGAAGATTGCGGTTCATTTGACCAAGCTTCAATGCGAGGACCGATCGTTCAACTTTGACGACGATGCACCGACTTCCTTTTTGGCCCTTAAAGCCACCTTGCTATATGCAGAGGTTTTACGCATCTATGACCTGCTTTTGCAGACATGAGTCACTACTGATGCATCTGGCTATGGTGTTGGTGCCATCCTCGAGCAACATGATGGCGTGGACTGACACTCAGTCGAGTATTTTAGCAATAAGGTGCCCGCGGTGCACTCGATTGACGGTGGACGAAAGGAGGAGTTATTAACCTTCGTACACACGCTGAAGAGATGGCGACATTTCCTGTTCAGTTGAAGTCGATTCCGATTGGTAACAGACAACAATTCGTTGACCTTTTACAAGATCCAAAATACGGTTTGTAGGACCATCGCCGATTGGATGGCTTTCATTGGCCAATTTGACTTCTTCCCCGATCACATCCCAGGAAAGTCAAACCGTTTTTGAACACTCTTTCGCGGCACCTAGACCTTTTTACCGCGGTCTACTCGACTTTCGATGTGGACGACGACTTGCGGGACAGCTTCATCCATAACTACCAAGCCGACCCTGAGTTCCGCAACCAGTATGCGAATTGCTCCTTTCCAAATCCGATGCCATCGCACTATCGGATCAAAGAGGGCTTTTTGCTAGTCCACTCGCGGGGGAAGGATCTTCTTTGCGTGCCAGCTGCGACACTCGGTTCATGTCCGACTTTTGGGTTCAACTTGGCCTCCTCAAACGATGGGGCGCATCTCTCAAGCCGAGTTCGGCTTGCCACCGGCAGACCGATGGGCAAACAAAGAGGGCGCATCAAACTGCACAGGTTCTTCGCACTCTCATCCATCCCAACCAAAAGGATTGGGTTGAGCGGCTGCCGGACGTCGAGTTGGCTGACAAATCATCCATTCATCCGGCTATCGGGAATTCGTCCTTCGAGTTTGAGCATGGCTCGCCGGTCACAGCACCATTGGACACTATTATCCCACAGACGATCGAAAATGACGATCAGCTCGTTTTCATTTGATGGATGCAAGAGCTCCTTGTAAAGGCACGGGACCAGATGTCGAAGATGCAGTTACATATGAGCCGTCAAGCCACTCGTCAGCATCTTCCTTGCCCGTTCCGCGCAGGCGGCTTTGTTTGGGTCTCCGCTGCGGAATTCAGCCTCGAGCAAGACATCTCTCGCAAGCTCCTACCGAAATGGATGGGGCCTTGGCACATTGTAGCGCCTGCTGGTGACACACCGGAGGGACCCTCATTTGTCATCCAGGTGCCCACCCAGTTGCCCGTCCACCCAGTCTTCCATTATTCTAAGTTAGCTCTGTTCGTTTCAGCGGAACACGACCTCCATGGATGGTTTTCAGGACGTCGGCAACATCATTTCGCAGCGATGCTACGACAACAAGCCAACCGGATACTTAGTACATTCTTCTTATTGTAGCCATAACGCTGACCGTTGGTTGACCCGTGCGGAAATCCAAGCAGCAACTCCCAAAGTCCTCGCACCTTACAAATGCAAGCTACGAGGCAAGCCAGCACCTTTGGCTTCACGCTGTACGCGCGTCCAAGTTCCACCTTCGGCACAGAGCCGGCCTTAGGGCCGCAAGTTTCGATTTGAGGCAGCATTTATTTATTTATTTGCTGTCCTATTTTTGTCTGTTCAGGCATCGTTTTGGACTTGCAGTTCGTCTGAACAGACTATGGGTCCATTCGGACAAAGGCCACGTTTTGGGCCTTTTACGGTCGCAGGCAGGCCCTTACGGGCCAGGTCCACCTTTGTCCGGTAGTGGGCACTCCCTGCTGCATCAGCAGGGAGGGCCTGGACGTCCAGTAGGCACCCAGGCAGGCCGTTTCAGGCCAGGACCAGCGGCACACGAGGCACACCAGCGAGGCCCAGCGCTACATATAGCTGGGCTAGGCCAGGGCAGGCACACAGCTCGAGTAGCTCACTTCTCGGGCGAAGCGCTGCTGGAGCAGCGTGGTGCGGCGCTGCACTGGAGGTAGAGGAGCGGTACACACACACACACAGATAGATAGATAGATAGATAGATAGATAGATAGAGAGAGAGAGAGAGAGAGAGAGAGAGAGAGAGAGAGAGAGAGAGAGAGAGAGAG